AATGCTGAGACAGTCTACTTTTAGACTAGAACATAACACTTGGGAAAATTTCCAAAAATGCTAAATGTCCAATTGCGTGAGAAGGAAAATCAAGACGAGAAAAAGAGAATGTTATAAATGAATGAAAAATGAATGAACGTTAATTCGAAGGAATATTTAAATAGAAAGATGAAAGGAAGAAGAGACACGAGTCAAAGAGAAACACAAGGTCAAGAGATGCAGTCGTCAAATATAGTAACAAAACCCGAATAGAAAATAAAAAATTAAAAAAGACGTTGGCGAACAAAAAACAGACAAAAAAATAAAATAAAATCCAGTAGAAAATATGTAAAGAGAATTAATGAAGGAAAAAAATTAAGAAAGAAAAAGGCTGAAAAAAATCCTCTGTCCTTGCAGCATTTTTATTTTGTTACATAGCGCATGCGCACATTTATCTCAAGCTGCTTTCGTTCCTCCATTTCCTGCCATGCTTTTACGCCTGAGAAACCAGCCGAAGAGATCAGACGAGGGTTCATTTACCACAGTGGGATAGGATGGGGATTTACCTTCATGATCGCTTGGCCAAGCATTAAGGACTCTTGAAAAAAAAAATGCATGTCAGAAATAGACAAAAAGAGAGCAAGACAAAAAGCAAAGTATTAAAAAAAAAACTGTTAAAATAGAAAAAACAAAAAAAAAAAAACGAGTGCTAACAGTAACACGAAGACGTTTGTTGCGAGATCTGTGTATTCTATTTGCGCGAAATTTAGTTTATGTGCGTGGAATTCCTCCAAACTCTACTACTTTCTATTCAACCAGCAACTTATTGGTCCATGGAATCAGTGGTATGGATAAATATACGACGGACGGACAACTCAGAATTGCGATGAAATAAACAAAGAATTAAAAAAAAAAGTCGACGCGTCGTTTTTCTTTTTCTATATTCAGAATTTAAAAAAAAAAATTTCCCTTCACAATCGCGTCGGTCCCAACAACTTTGCGATTCCTGGGTATGACAATAAACTACATCCGGCAACAAGGACTCTAATGGGGAAGTTTTGAGAAGCGTTGAACTACCTCTTAATTTCTGTTGTTTCCAGATTCACTCTGACCTTAGGAAAGGTATGAATCCTCTTCTTCTCCCCCCAGCTATGGGTAAATAGCAGGACAGACTGGGTTCTATAGCCTTGGATGGTAACTGGTCGACAGCAGAAAGAAATGGCAACTTACTGCGGGAAAAAGCATGTATCAACAAGCGTCTGGATAGTCAAGCCAAACTTGTTACCAGGCCATGATACCCAATGAGGATTGGCCTCATTTATCATTTGCCAGCAAAACTAATCATTCACCAAAAATCTAGATCAGGTACCGAAAAGTATGGTTTTGTCTGCCACAAGGCTATACCGATGAAACTTTCTCTGGGAACTGAATTTATTTCCAATGAATTTCACTACACTATTTTATTAATCATTGCATTATTGTATTTATACATAGTGCGTATTTGTACTGAATATCTTCATCTGGCACAGGGCCGTGAAATATAGTGTCATCAATTAGTCTTGATAAGTATCGCTCTAAAACGGAAATGTAAGTAGTTAGGAATAAAGTGTCGCTGCCGACACTTGAGTTTGAACATAGATCGCCAGTGAGCAAACATTATCGAATTAAATGGACCACGTGACCATAGAGGAAGGTAATGGGGGGTAGTCTGTGTCTAATTGATCGCTATTCCAAGTCTATCCTCTATACTATACTATCATTTCTATTCTATCCTCTATTACGGACCACTATTCTTTACTCTATTCACTATACTATTTCCCTATTCGGATCACTATACAGATTACTATTCGAGTATTATCGAGCAAATACTATTAGTGTGAGAAGGCATCTGACACTAGCATTGTTCAACCGCGTTACTATATTTGTATCTGCTATTACAAGGCTCTACTACAACAAACATTACAAAAGTGGCAACGAGTGTTCGTTGACATCACAAAATGAGTAGTCAGGGACAAGGTCAATAAAATGGGTTTCAAAATGAAGAGCAAATTCAGAATGAGCGTCAGGTGATAGGAAATGTATGAAAGAGAAATCAAACCAAAGAAAACCTCGCGATATATGAAAACTAACGAGTAAAATTGTGGAGAGTTTTTAGTTTGGTTTGGTTTATTTTGTTTTTACGGCTTATCAACCTCAATGGCGGTAAGAGTTTTAGAATAATGCATTCTTTGTAAGAAATCAGTTTGTAGATCAGGTTTCAGTGATATATTTTTGCAAAGAGGGTTTTTGTCGAGAGTAAAATATATTACGCCTACTATTTTCTTTTTTCAAAAATATATTGCCGGTAATATTTTTTTTTCAAAAATGCATTGCTGGTATTTTTACTATAAAAATCTATTTTTATACTTTCATTTTTACTATAAAAATCTATTTTTATACTTTCGTGTTTTGATCTCAGTTTGGCGGGGGGTTAACTACTCGCCCATAGCTGGGACCCTAACAGGTGCTACCACTCCGGGTCAGAGTGAACCTGGAAACAACAGCAATTAAGAGGTAGTTCAACGCTTCTTAAAACTTCCCGATTAGAGTCCTTGCTGCCGGATGTAGTTTATTGTCATACTCAGGAATCGCAATGTTGTTGATAGCGACGCGATTGTAAAAGGAAATTAAAAAAAAATAATTCTGAAAATAGACTTTTTTTTTTTTTTAATTCTTTGTTTATTTCATCGCAATTCTGAGTTGCCCGCCTGTCGCATATTCATCCATGCCACTGATTCAATGAACCAAGTGAATGAAATGGATTCGACTGGAATTCGAACCCGGTTCTACCGATTCCTCAATCCGAGTCGCTATCCATTACTCCATCACGCCTCCTTGCTTTTTGTACACGAATGCTTAAACTTAGTGTCAGATACATTGCTAAAGCGTTCAATTCTCAATGAACATTCCCATATTTATTGCTTTGTAAGCGATTATATAATTCTATGAAATATCAAGAAAGAAAAAGGCTGAAAAAATCCAGCCTGGACCATTTGATAGTAAAATGAATCTCGAAGTTATAGCTATCTTGAACCTCCGTCAGTATCAAATTTTATAGTTCTGTGGCAGATTAACGTAAAATTTTTAAAAATAACTACGTATTAAAGCAACAGGCATGTTCTAACTGTATTTAATGTCACACTTGTCAAAGTGAGATATTTAACTCTTTTTTTTTTTATAAATAACCACCGAAACGCCTAGAGTAGAATAATAATTAAACTGTTGGAAAATTTCTCTAAGGATGAGGAAAAAAAAAACTAGAGTCAACAGAAATGTGGTTCTACAGAAGGATACTGAGAATTCCATGGATGGAGCGGCTATGCAACAATGAAAATGACCTTAAAGAAAATGGTAACAGAAAAAAAACCAAAAAACGCCTATACTCAAAATAACGAAAAGACAACTGAAATTCATTGGGCACATATTAAGGATGGAAGGCTTAGAAAAATTAACCCTCACGAGGCATATTATGGGTTAGAGAAATAGAAGAAGACAGCGAGCCACTTACCTGACAGGCTTGTGTGAATGGATGGCGGAATATGGGAAGGGACCTTAGCAAAGGGAGGAAATATGCTCAGAGATGCACGAGATAGAAAGTTGAGGAGAGCCACGATCTGCTATGTCATGAAGAGTCGCGACACATAGTAGAAGTTTTGTAAGACGTTCTTAGTGTACCAAAGTCTAACATAACTCCGGCTTTCGAAATGAGCGCTTGTCTTTGAGCAATAGCTATAAGACTCGTATCGCAATAATACTGTGAATTCGATTCTTACTGAGGGCCCAATTTTAATAGCCTTGTGCCAGACAAATATATGTTTTGTAAATATTTATTTTTGGTATGTTGGAATATATTTTATTTTGTCTTATACTTTTCCTTTAGTTTTTCTTTAATTTTCTGAGGATTTGTGGTGGTTCAAGGGAAAAAATTTCTTCCAATGGGTTTACTCATTCAAAACGAAAGTGAAAGTAAAAGAAAAATTAGCGGGAAAGTATAAACTCAAAAAATTCCACAAAAAAGGAAAGATTTTTGAGGCAGCAATTTCTGTAGTCTTGGATTTTTGTTAATGTTTTTGAATGATTTTCGCTCAATTGATTCATTTACTTTCATAATTTTTCCTATTTCTTCACAATTTTATTCATTTCATTATCTACTTTATTTTTACTTGTTTTCTTTTCAGAAAAATGAAGAAAAAAAAACGTAGCAAAATTCCGATTTATATATACAGGCATGCAAAGTTAGATCAATAATTCCATAGCTTGATATGTGGTAGATGAATTTCGATCTGAAATATTCACTGTATAATGTTTGATCTACGTGAACAATATTTACCGTTGGAAGGAAGGAAATTATGTTGAAAAATATTTGTAGTGCATAATAAATGATTCTTTCATCATCAGGCTACGTGTTTATTGATATAACTATACACATACACACAAATGCGCGCACACGCACGCACGCAAGTACACGCATACACACAGGCACGTCTGTGCGTGTGTAGAAAAGAGATATTCTTTTTAAATAATGCTTCTGCAATTACTAATGCTGTTTTAATGGGCGAACGGCCATGTCAGTGGTGGGGGGTGATTGTGGAGCTAAAGAGAAGAAAGAAACGAAATGAAGGGACAGAAAATAAAACAAAATAAGAGCGAAATAAAATGAATAAAAGAAAGAAAAAAATTGGTCTGAAGGAAAAACGGTTTCTGAATTATGGCAATCAGGCCAACTTTGGAAATAGGAAAAAGATGCCAGTGAAGCGAATGAAATGGGAAGATGAGGTGTTGTGAACGAACAGGAAAAATAAATGAATGAATAAAAAACATCGGAGAAAACTAGAAACACTGTCAGGCCAAAAGAAAGAGTGAACAAAAGAAGAAAAAAAAAAAGGATCAAGTGCAAATAGTTGAAAAGAATGAATTATTGAAAGAAAGGAATGAAAATGAAAGATATCGACAAAAAAAAATATATATATATATAAATAAATTTAAAAAATTTCGAAGAAAATAAAGAAGAAAATGAAAATTCGGGGAAAAAATATGACTGAACAAAAACAAATCCATAGATATAAGAGAGAAGAGGCAGATGGCGAGATGAAGTGAGAAAGTTTGAGTAGAATCAATGAATGGATGAAAGAAAGACGAATAACAGAATGAAGAAAAGAAAGAAAAATAAGAGTATCAAGAAAAAGAATAATTAAAAAAAAAAGAATAAAACAAAGACGGAAAGAAAAAATTAAGAATAAAAGGAATGAATAAATGAAAATGAAAAATGAAAGAAGTAAAGCATTATAAAATAAGCAATGAATATATGAATAGAATATTAAGAAAGAAAAACAAATAAAGAAATAGTAATTAGCAGAAAGAAAGAAAGAAAGAAAGAAAGAAAGAAAAACAGAATGACAGAAAGAAAGAAAGAAAGAAAGAAAGAAAAACAGAATGACAGAAAGAAAGAAAGAAAGAAAGAAAGAAAAACAGAATGACAGAAAGAAAGAAAGAAAGAAAGAAAGAAAAACAGAATGACAGAAAGAAAGAAAGAAAGAAAGAAAGAAAGAAAAACAGAATGACAGAAAGAAAGAAAGAAAGAAAGAAAGAAAAACAGAATGACAGAAAGAAAGAAAGAAAGAAAAACAGAATGACAGAAAGAAAGAAAGAAAGAAAAACAGAATGACAGAAAGAAAGAAAGAAAGAAAGAAAGAAAAACAGAATGACAGAAAGAAAGAAAGAAAGAAAGAAAGAAAAACAGAATGACAGAAAGAAAGAAAGAAAGAAAGAAAGAAAAACAGAATGACAGAAAGAAAGAAAGAAAGAAAGAAAGAAAGAAAGAAAGAAAGAAAGAAAGAAAGAAAGACAGAAAATGATTGGCAATAAATCCGGACTAGAAAATAAAGGGAAATAAACTCCATGATGTAAACAGGAAATAAAGAACAAAAAACTAAAATGCTAATGAATGAATGAAATAGAAAGAAATTTTAAAATTAAAGCTATAAAGAATAAAGTAAAGTGAAGAAAACGGGACAAAGAAGTAGATAAAGAAATAAGAAGGAATAAAAAGAAAGGAATCATTCAAGAGAAAAAAAAAGAAGAAAATAAAAGAATAGCAGCGATAGATGAAGAAAGCAAAAGAAAGCGACTAAAATAAAAGAAAGTGAAAGAAAAGTAAATATACAGGAGACTGAAAATATGTTATAAAAGTGAAAGTGAGAAGGAATGTAAAAAAAAAAAGAAGAAAGATAAAGAAAGAAAAGCAAAAAAGAGGAATGAAGAGGGAGGATATGTAAAAGGAAATGAAGGAGGGAAAGAAAGCAAAAAAAGAGAAAAAAAAGGAAGAAAAGTAAAAAAAAAATAATGAATAAACAGTATAAAAGCGAAATAAGGAAGGAACATGTTAAAAGAAAGAAGGAAAGAAAAGAAGAAAGAAAAAACGAATAAAAGGAAGGAATGAACAGCAAAAACGTACCAAAACGGAAAAAAGTAAAACAAAAAGAAAGACAAAATAAAAGAAACGATAGAAAAGATGTTATGTAAATCAAAAGAAAGAAAAAGCGTTTGAAAGAAGTAAAATATAAACTTAAAAAGGAAAATTAAGAAAGGAATTGCTAACGTAAAAGTGTGAATAAAAAATAACAAATATATATATATATATATATATATATATATATATATATATATATATATAATATTCACATTAAGAGAAAATAAAAGAAAAAAAAAAAAAAGTGGCTAAATCTAACCGGGCAAGTGATTTCGAAAAAGATTTTGTTGAAAAAACGTCCCACTGCGCATGACTCTTACTTTAACTCACGATGTTTATGCTCACAAGAGAAGACGGAGAAGTGAACGTCGCTTATCAGATGAACAACTTCACATGATTCAGCAAATAAAACTTGCTTAGTCATGTCTGATTTGTATTCAGTGTTTCAGTTTGATCCGAAAGATCGCTTCAGCTTCCTTCGCAAGACCTTCACTGCCATGCAGCGCACATGTGTGTCTTGTAGCATGTTGCCTATTGCCTGTATGTGTCCATTCTATGCTTTTCTTTAACCCGATCCACTGACATGAATTGCAAAGATTATATCGAATCAATTACCGAGTCTGCTGCTAGGAAACTTGGTTCACTGTGTCGTGCAAGACAATTTTTATCACCAGAATCTATCTTGCAAATTTAGAAGCGTACCATTCTTCTGTGCATTGTTTTTATCACATCTGGTTTAGTGTTTCCGCTATTTCCTTGTCTGTTGATTCTCAGTGCGAATACTTTATATATTGTAAGATAGAAGGTTTCAAATTTATTCTGCTTCCAAATTATTAAACCCATCTCTCTCTGTCGTGGTGTTTACACACTTCTTCAGAATACCCAGTTACAAGACTTACAAGATTATCCGGATATCTTAGAACAAGGGTCGAAAAACAAGCCCGGGTAATTCAAAATTCCGGATAATTGAATACTTAAATTTCCAATTCATGTCAGTGGATCGGATTAAAGAAAAGCGTCAAATGGACACACACATAGGCAATAGGCAACATGCTACAAGACACACATGTGCGCTGCATGGCAGTGAAGTCTTGAAACGAATACATCAAATATGGCTTAGAATAAATTCAAGTCTAATAAATATTTTAGAGCCAAAAAGAAAATGCTTCGTTTGAAATAAGATATTATAATTTGGAGGCACGGTGGAGTAATAGATAGCGGTTCGGATTGAGGAGTCGGAGAGCCGAGTTCGTATTCCAGTCGAATCCATTATATTCAGTTATGTCCTCTTCCTCTATGGGTAAATAGCAGGACTTGGATGGCAGAAAGTAGAAGATTGCCTCGTCAATCATGTATCGAAAGATACATGATCGCCTAAGTGTGTATCGCGTATAGCACATAACTGACTGACTGATCCTGCTATTTAACCCATCGCTTGGGGGAGAAGAGAGTTATGCTTTCCTCCAATTTCTTAGTATGAAAATGAACGGAACAATCTTGATTGAAAGTTGCAAGCCAATGCTTTAAAAAAATATTTAAAATTCATTGTCTTAGTTATTTATTCGTTAAAAATCTATTTAAGTTTTACTAAGAAGCTTTAGGTGTTCGCCGTGCCGGTTCATCGGTGGTCAATCACTGCTACTAAAAGTGTATTGCAAACGTCTGGGCAAAAGTTAATCTGCTCTGAAATAATGAAAGTTGGACAACAGTAATATTTAGTGACGAAAGCAAATTGAACTGCACGTAGATGCAACAGAGTTTCCCGAAGATCATTTGATATGAATAACTATCCATGATAATCAACAAAAGAATCTCAGTGATGGAGTCGAATGGTTTGAAGCCAAATAAAAAATAATGGCACAAAAATGTTGACACAAATCAACGTAAAAGTGAACAGCGAAAATATATTGATTTCTGAAGTTTCCACATATCAGATATAGCAGTCACAATACGAACACCATATTTAGTACAAATTATGATTAATATCCCTAAATGCATAACTTTAGCGCAAATTTCTAAGGAATTAATAGATTTTCATTTTTAATCTGACTTTATTTCTTATTAATTAAACTTTACAATTTATTGAATACATGTTTGTTTTATTTACACTATTTATAATGTTAGAACTGTTATCCTCATCTTCGTTGCCATATTTAGGTTGATTCGGTCGATATACGCACCGGCCTTCTTCAGGTGATTGAAATTTCGAACAGAACCCTTTATTTCGTCCATCGGGTTAAATTTCTGTAGTTCCACGTGCCATGCCTCTTTCGGATATCACAGATATGGCAACAAAGATAGGGACAACAGCTCGAACATTGTAAAAGTGTAAGTAATTACAATACTTCATCACAGAAATATGGACAGATCCAGAAGAAGGCCGGAGTGTACAACGGCCAAAATGTTGTGAATATGGCAACAAAGATGAGAACAACAGTCCGAACATTGTAAATAGTGTAAATAATTACAATACCTCAACTCAGTAATATAGATATTTTTTTTTATAATTATTTTTGTTTTTAACAGTGTAAATAGACCGGTAGCTTTAAAAGCGCGGAGTGGGGGCGCAAAAAAAATTTAAAAAATGACAAAAGAAGTCTTGTACTAAAGCAAGTGTATCAGTTAAATAAAACATTTAATTTAATTGATTTGTTATGGACAATTAGTTTTAGGTTATTATCAGTACGATGTAACATATCTAGGGAGTTAGGTGGCCAGATGTAAGAGTGATATAGTCGTAGAAATTGACTGACAGCCATGACTGGATTCTCCTGCTTCTGTGGCGTGGTGCAGAGTCCTGTTGCCAGACATAGGGTCTTGCAGCAACCACTCTCTTGTCCCAGGGCAGCACTACCTCCTCAAGTCACTTGATGCAGGCGTCCGTGTTGAGTCTGAGGCCCCCACCAACAAATTCGCAAGTTCTTTTCCTGTCAGAGCGCTCAGAGAGCGTTTTTCGAGATCCTGTACCTTCGTAATCACCATTAGACCCATCCAACTCTTTCCAAATCCGCAGTCCTGTCCTCAGATTGACACTCAAAACACTCTGAAATGTGCGTATTGTATTTTCCGGCGCGAATACCAAGTGGTACAGCATTCCGTTTCCAATTTTCTGGTGGGGTGGATTGCGTCATGGTGCACTTTTCCTCACGGACGGTGCCCAACTGACCCTATCATACTGTGTATATATAGAACTTTTTAAGATCGTCTTCAGGGGTAAATTACGACGACAAGCATACTATTGTAACTGCAATAAAATCTGCATTCCGTTGCCATACTTATTTTTAAAAAACACGAGCGAACGCTCTCTGTTCTAGTTATTTTAGAATTTTAAAATTTATATATTATAATTATGTTTGTTTTTGTAATTTATCTCTGAAGATGATTTTAGTAAAGATCGAAAGTACTTAGGTTAAAAATTAACTACGGCACCTTCTTTGACGCATTTCATCTCGCCATCAAAAAAAAAAAAAAATAAAAATAAAAATAAAAAATGATTAGACAACAGGAAAGGACCCGTATAAAAGTAATGACCATATTATACAACGAAACTTGTTTGAATGAAAATATGCTTCCTAAATATACATGCGTATGCGCGCGCGTATATTCAAGCAGAAAAAAAAAAACAAAGGAAGAAAGGCTAAATGGCTGCCAATAAGATTTTCTATTTTAATGCCTCACGATCGACACGAGAAGTAATAACATTAGCTGGTTCTGAAAGTAATTACCTTTTACCAGAAAGGATATAAAAAGTAAATCTAGGTTAAATTTATCTAAATATATTTTACCAAATATATAATCATCTTAATTTTTAAGAACTACAGCCCAATGAAGCGGAAATATTTCGATTCCATATTTAAAGAAATATGTATTCATAACCGAATAACTTTTACATTTCACAAGGCACAAAATAAAAACTTCTGTGGTTGGAGTCTTGATTTTGTTATTGGCACTATTTCTTATTTTGTTATAAAATACTGTTTATTCACTTTTAAATTGACATGCAAAACCCATTTTTCATCATATGTAAAATTGAAACATTAGTATTCCTAGTAAATTGATTGTTATAGATGTTAGATTGTTGTATTCGGTTCCCAAGTGAATGTCCCTGAGGAAACCTTCTTATCCAAATTTGGTCACTATCGGATTTTGGACGCAGTTTCATTATATATATATATATATATATATATATATATATATATATATATATATATATATATATTATAAAATTTTTATGTTTATACGTTCTTTTTATAGATGCAAATATTTAAGTAAATGTGCTGTTTATAATAAACAGCATTAACGACAATTATCGGTCGGAATGTCCGAGAAAATTTAATAGAAAATATGCGTCCTCTGACAGGAATCGAACCGTTATCCTACACAGAACCGTCATATAGCTTGACGTGCTTTACCGGTTTAGCCACAGAGGAGCGTTTCGGTTAGAAAAGTCGATTTTACTGTTTTTAAACTACAATTTCCCATGGTTTTCTATCGTACATTCATATCTGCTCGATGCGTATTCAAATGCAAACAAATGACGTCACATTATGAAATGGACAAAGTCTTACAATTAAATTAAGACATTTTTATGTTTATAAACATAAAAAAATGTCTTAAATTAATTTCGACTTTGTCAATTTCATAATATATATATATATATATATATATATATATATATATATATATATATATATATGTGTGTGTGTGTGTGTGTGTGAAAATATATAAAAATAGGAAGGAACTGGTTAGGTAAATAATATGTGTGACAAGGCTAGAATATGTAAAGCTTGGGATGACCCATGCCCTTTGTGCCTCCATGAAAAATTGCACATTATTAAACTTCTAAATTATAATAATCTATTAAATAATAGACACGAGTTAACGGTTTTTTGTAGGCATCATCAGATTTTTGGTTTGAATTATTAGATTAAAAAAAAAAAAAAAAATTGTTTAACAAAACAAATAGCCCAATCATCAGATTCATAGTAGGAATAATTAACTACAAACATGCATACAACATAACACCCTTCATAATCCATAGCCCAAATTAGTAGTTTAAATACCTTACATAAAAGATAACCCTTTATGAAGTCGTCAAAAAACAAACGTTACGAAAGTTTTTCTTTTTTTATATGCACAATTCCCTTTCATAATAAAATAAAATAAATAAATAAATATCCATAGACAAGCAAACTTGATGAAGGTTAATACATCTTCCGTTTCATTTTAGACACCCCCACCTTTCCCCGACTTGACACCTTGAAAGTATCTCTATACTGCTACTTATTATTAACACCCTACACTCGCCTACCCAATTTAGACAATTCGCCCTAGCTGTTACCATGGGGATTTTGATTTCAATTTTTAAAACAAGTAAATTTCAGATATACGTTATTCCAACAAAAATTTCGCTTGAAGATGGAACGGAGCCCATTTTAATTTCAACTCAATTTAATTTAAAGGATTATATTGAAGTTTTCGGCTCTTGTTTTGAAACATGAGACCTCTTATGTAGCGATTTGGAATCATATTTTTAAATAAATAATTATATATATATATATATATATATATATATATATATAGCTGTTTTCAAGTATGCCCATTTAGTAGGTAGACAATCCCAGTGTATTGATTGTAGACACCTGCTCAGGCATATTCGTGTTTTCCCAATACTCATATAACCCAACTGTGTTTTATACTGCAAATTTGCTGAGCGAGCCATTTTTATATTTTCTGGTAAGTAGCACAAAATATGACATGATCAATAGTTGAAGAAAACGCAGTACACCCAAAGTTTTGGTCCTGAACGCTTGTGACTTCGTGTTAACGCAACTATCAGCAGTTTTCAAACAGTTTCGTTTGTCCAATTTCATGGACAAGTCTGGTGCCAGAACATTATATGTCTTTCAAGCACTTTCCAACGGAATCGTACGCTGGGATTGTCATTTGTCATAGACATTTCCCTGATAAATCGACAAATGCGAAATTCTAACAACTATATATATATATATATATATATATATATATATATATATAAATATATATATCGGTCGTACTAGTACCTCCTTTGAGTAGACGCATCACATATCACATCAAACTAGAGCTTATCAAACATATCAAATATATATATATATATATATATATATATATATATATATATATATATATATATATATATATAAATATATGGATATAGATCCGACAGTATGAAGAAAATATACGGAAAAAACAAAAAAATTATTGCATAATTTCGTATTAGGATTTTTTTTGTTTTTTTTCCGTATATTTTTTCTTCATATATATATATATATATATATATATATATATATATATATATATATATATATATATATATTCGACCCCGACAGCGAAACAGTCTGTCTGTGGATGACAATATGTACGCCTCCGAAAACTTAATTTCTGTCGAGCACTCTGGAGAGTAAGCGTGAATTTGTAAACACTCCTACTGGTAATGTAAAGTTCTTCTACGAATTGGACCCTCTCGGTCACTTAATGAATACGTAAAAATTTACCTTCCTTTCTAGCTTAGCTATATGAGCTTAGGGGTAAAATCTCCGAATCAGTCGGGTTTCGATCCCGGTTTGAGGCAATCGGATGTCTATCCACACTGATGAGCTGTAATACAGCAAAACAGTCTGTCTGTGGATGACAATATATATATATATATATATATATATAGGTGTGCTCTTGCTCCATGATAACGCACCCATTCATATTGCTCAGGTTGTAGTAGATGAAACAGCCTACCTCATCTCTCTTTATTCAGCGAACTTAGCTCCATCTATATACTAAATTCAAATTACCCCTGCGTGGTCGCAATTTTGTAAACAATGATATGTGCTGTTGATGAAGTTTAGGAGGACCAGGATGCCACCTTCTTCCAAGATGGTCTTGCGATGCTTAAGCATCATTGGACCAATTTCATCAATAGGACTATATTAAAAAATAATGAAAAACTGCCTTGTTTCTCTATCCTAGTGGGTGGGGCTTAGAACTTTTTGAACGACACGCGTATATCCATACATATGTATGTGTGTGTGTGTGTGTGTGTGTGTGTGTGTGTGTGTGTGTGTGTGTGTAAAAAGGAAGAAAACGGTTAAAGAATATTATTTGTAAAACCAGAAATAATAAATATCCTGGGTGAATATAACGCCATATTAATGACACAGTGGATGCGTTGCAACCACATGATTTTTATTAAAAAGAAAAACGAAGAAAAGAAAAGTATTCTATAGTGGACTAAGAAAAAGTCACAACACATCATGGAGACGCCAGTTACAAAGATAAAGGGAGATAGTGAGGCAGGAGTGGATGGGGTGTTGCCTGGACCTGTTGGCAACGTCTCTGGTCAAGGTCAGTTCGCCTTGACCTAAGTCTAGTGATGAATGCAGTGGATGGCTGAATTTTGTCCATTAATTCTGACTGTCCTTTATCAGTTTCAGTCAACCAAACGGGCAACCCATTGGGATTTCTTTTCGTTGAAAGTCTGCCTTTCTTGATGGCTGTTTTTTGGGCCATTGTTTTGAAACGTGCATCCTGACACGGGGAGATAACCGCGATCGCTTCATGTCCCGGACACAT